GTTAATAAATAACAAATATTTGTAAATTTTAATTTGTATCTTTAAATTGCACAAACCGGTAAAAAAAAAAATGAAGGAACACAAAACTGTAAATAAGTAACTTATGTTAAAAATTGTTTGTGCACTGTGCTGGTGTGTGTTGTAATAAAATGATACCGGCGTACATTTAATCGCAACACAGTGTATCACAACGCATGGGCAATGTGTCACAACACTGCCATGCGCTGCCACACAGTTATATTAATGTTATTTGACAAAATAAAAAAAAAATCAAGCACTGCGATGTGTTCTAACAATGCTGGGGGGGATCTAAACAGACCCCTGACAATTCCCTTTTGAAATAAACGAGACACAGAATCCTCAATATTTCTTTCTGCAGCCTCTGTTTTGAATGAACGGAAAGCACTCAGTACAGAGGCTTCCCATTCTTTCACAAATAAGAGTAAATATTTACTATCAACCAGTTGTGAATGGGTGGAAGTCTCTGTACTGAGCTTCTTCTACCCATTCAGAAACTCATGAATGAACAGGAAGTAATGCACTTCCTGAACATTCATAACAGGGGACACATAGTACTATGCGTTCCCAGTTGTTTACAAACACTGGAGTGATCTACTTTACAACACACACAGGGACCATGGGGAACAGAAGTAGCCCCCCTCCAGAAGGAAGGACAGGGTCAGCATCAATTCAGAGATGATTTTAGGATCTACAGCCGAGTGATACACAAAACAATTTACATTTTTGTTAACAGTTAAGTTGCTTGAATGTATTTTTAAGATATAACTAATTAGTTTAGTGTCACTTTAAATATAAACATTTAGAATTTCAGTCACTTGGAGGACCCAGCCTATCTGCTCTATCGGTCCTCCCAAAGAGCAAATGTACGGCCAATTATAAAGTGGAAGTAGGAATCAAGTGTTCTTCTTGTAAATGTTCCAACACATGTAAGGGGTCAGAACAAACCCCATCCCTCATCAGGGCTTTGAATGAATAAATAGGGGAGCTGTTTTGTGCTTGGAATTTACACGAATTAGAGCTGCATAGACTGGGACTGCATAGATTGGGGCTCATAGGTTGGGATTGAGTGTTTGTATGCAGCGTGGGGAAAGGTTGGCACACACTTAACCCCCAAAAATGCATTGCAAGTGATATTTTCTACCCGTTTCTTTCTTCCAGTTTGGCGTTCTGCCCTTATTTATCTTTGTATAGTCATAGGCAAGGTCCCATTGTTTCCTTTTCGTACTCAAGGGCAGCCATAATCCAATCTCTGCAGCTACAGGCATTGTGGAGAAATTAATCTTCACAGCTCACAACAGAGGCACTGAAATCTCAGCTATTTTCTATGTAGGCAAAATATAAACACCAGATGCATGTAAGCTGCTAGAAACGTAGTGAAGCCCAAATCTCTGTTGTAACCTTTGAAAATTAATTCTGTCACAGTAGAAGCAGCTAGAAGCGTCAATATGGTCTTGTTTTAAAGTCCTATCACTGCTTGCTATGAATATGTCCTATTCCATAGTACAAGTACAGGTGCATGTTAAACTTACATTTTTGAGAATCAAGCCGTTTGAGCTTATATCTGACCCAGCACCACCTTATATAAAGTATGTCTCCACTAAAGGTCAACGCGGCAACAGTTTTGTAATACTTGTTGCTCTACTTACTAGTGTGTTCCCCAACTGAGTGTCCTGTGAAAATTCAGGGTTCCATGGTTCCAAGACAAATCAGCTGTGGTTTTAATAGAGGATCATTGCACAATAACAGACAGGAGCACTGTGAAAATCCCTCTCCATCTGGGATCAGCTCATTGAGGTCAAAGGTAAGTGAAATGTCAGAGTTTGGTACAGCAGATGTGTTTGTTAAATGGTTCACAGATTTGTTTTATGTGTTGCATGGAGTTGTATCTAAAGGGTAATACCTCCTGGAAAATACATGGAACTTGTAGTTTCACAACAGCTGGAGTGCTGAGGTTGCATAACCCTTTTAAGGAGAGTCACATGAGTAACAGCACTGAGCCTGCTGACATCACATCCAAGATGGCGGTGCCCGGCAACAGGCTGAGGGTTGTTTTTGCTGGTAAATAACATGCCTAAAATATGTAAAATGCACATATACCCTTATGGGAAGATTTGTGTTGAATTGAATAGTCTGGGAACAGGGTCTCTTTAGGGCATCAGGTGACTATCTACATTTCTCCAGCTGTCGACCTGTGTGCATGAGTTTTAAATTGTGGTACTATAAATGGCAGGCATGTGCTCCAAATTTTGGTACAAGGTGGCACCCGATGATACACCTCGTGACCCATTCCGAGAGGCATTTAATGGCCGATCACATGACCCATTTAATGTCTTGATTCTCTAGAATCTCTCTATCCATTTATAGCATCAGAACACCGACATGAATGCAGCATCTTAATTCACAAACAAGTCACATTCCTCAAACCTCTACTATCCTTCCTTGGGCTGACCTCTATTAACTCACGTTGCACCGATGTAAATTCCGTGTGTTGGATGGCTGTAATAACATACATTTGACAATTTATACATTAAAAAGGCAATGACTGTTTATACATCAAGGTGGAATATTTTATTTTTTGTGATGATACATTTCGCAATTTGTTTATGAGAATATCCAACGCAAACAATCATCCGGGTCTGCACATTCTGCAGTCATACAGCATGAAGAAGGTGTTTTAGAGCCAGAGATGGAAAATTAAAACCAATATGGGATTTTTCCAAGGATACAAAAACAATGAGGAGTTATTATATTGGTCCAGGTCATACAATGTTTAATGTATAGCACTGAATTAACTGATTTTTAAAGAGAACATGTCACATTTCCTTTTACCCAGATAGCCACTGAAGAACAGTAAAATCTGTAGAGATGTTAGCCTTCAGATGTCCTAAACAACACATTTTTACATTGTTCTATGTCATTTCCCTCCATATGGTCCCTTAGATTCATATTCATGTTGTTTTTAATGACCAGTCCTATCCAAAACATGTTTTGGTTTTAATGTGTGGAAGGGTTATAACCACTATGAGAATTTTATTGCTAGAAGTATCTCTTTACCTCACTTTCTATCCTAGTGACCACATGGGAAGTGAGTAGATGTCTCCAATGGTGACACAGATGGCAATAAAAACCTTAAATGGGTTCTCACCCTTCCCATTTCTATTTTAAAACTATCTTTTCTTACTGTCTGTGCTCCTGGTGAAGAGATTTGTCTCAGTGACCACACAAAAAGAGAAGAAACATTTTCCCAATGGTTAAAGAAACATCAATAAAACCTGACAGTGGGTCTAACCATTCACGAAGGTGCCAAAAAGGGCCCAGCACAATGCATTTACACTGTGCTTGAAGTCAGCTGGTGATGGAAAATGGGTAGTGGTGATGGAAAGCAGATACCCAAAGAGATCTTCGTATGTGCTCCCACACCTTGTACTGAAAGGCATAAAATCTCCTCTACTGATTGTCTGTTGGTCCCTAAAGTGACACTAAACCCAGGAATTAAACCCTAAAACTACATTCAAGTACCTTAACTATGAACAAAAATGTATCTTATTTGTGTATCACTCGGCTGTAGATCCTCAAATCATCTCTGAATTGGTGCTGACACTGTCCTTCCTTCTGGAGGGGGGCTACTTTTGTTCTCCATGGTCCTTGTGTGTGTTGTAAAGTAGTCACCGCTCCAAGATCACTCCCATGACGGACTACAATCTCACTTATACTGATTTGAATGGAAATTAGAATCCATTACAGGAGTGAGCTTGGAACGTTGGCTACTTTACAACACACACAGGGACCATGGGTAACAAAAGTAGCCCCCCTCCAGAAGGAAGGACAGTGTCAGCACCAATTCAGAGATGATTGGAGGATCTACAGCCGAGTGATACACAAATAAGAGACATTTTTGTTAATAGGGTACTTGAATGTACTGTTAAGGTTTAACTCCTGAGTTTAGTGTCACTTTACCTACGATGCACAGCCCCTTGGCCCAATTGGAGGTATAGGATATAGCAGGACCAGTTTCTCAACCATGTGTGTGGAAGCATGTGTATAAAGAAAACATGAATATTACTTGCAGTATTATGAGGCTGCCTGCCAAGAGAGCTGGCCTAGATTTGCTTAATGAGGGATCCATAAGTTTCAAGTCTCCGTGGGTACCATAGAAAGTATACAAATACCATCACTGCTGCAATGGAGCCCAGCCTTGCAATGTTTAAGATATGAACCTATTATAAAGGGAAATCATTTATAACCATCGGAGCTGTTAAATTACACTAGCTGGCTAGTTGGCTTGAAGAATGATTTTGTAACCTCTGAAGGAATACATAAGTCAACAAAGTAATATCTGAAGAAAATAAGTCAAGGCAACTTGGCTTGCTGTATTTTTCTTGAAGACGTTTCACTGGTCATCCAAACTGGTTGGGTGACCAATGAAACGTCTTCAAGAAAAATACAGCAAGACCAGTTGCCTTGACTTAATTTTTACAGATATACCATGACCTGGATGAATGAGAACCTTCACAGACATATTGTCAACAAAGTAATGTCTTTACAGGTTTGCCTGGAGTTAATCTCCACTCGTAAAATGTTATAATCTTGCAGTATTATCACAGAGATTGCCATGTTTGTACTGTTATTCACTTGTACTCTCTTGCTGTCTAAGCAAAAATGTCGGTTCAGTGATAGGCTGCAAGGCCCCCCATGTAGGATCACATGTTCTCAGTTTTTTGCTGAGCTCAGGGCTAACAACTAACACCGTTGAAGTAGAGTAAAAATGGGAATTAACAAAGTGATGATCATATTACGAGAACTGGAAAAAATTTTTATTCCCCTAAATAATTGCAAGATCTGCGGAGAATCAGAGCAATTAGGTCATTCAGACAATTGTGACGGGTGAATTGTATGAAATTCAGAAGTATGAAAAATCTTCACATGCAATCTGCTTCACAAATCTATTTGCTCATCACTATACAGTGGTTTTGGTTAAAATTCCTTATTCCTTATTAAAGCAGAGTACATAATACAATCAAAAGAATACACAAAATAATGTCTGTGAAATGTATAATGGCAAGTGCCTCTGTTAATGCCTGTTAATATGTATATAAATATAAAAGTGTAACAGTTATGGATGCATAGCTAATAATTCTTCTTGAAAAGCACAATATAAGTAAGGCAAACAAGGTCACTTCTCATGGCCTAGAGTAATGGCAGTCTCTTCCCGTCCAAGGAAATAAATAGTAATAATTAGGCACATGCAGGCAGGCTGTGAAAACATGGCACCTATCAGAAATCTATTTATTCTTGGCTGCCAAGGGCTTGCGGCTGATCTTCTTGGTTTTGTCGTTGTTCTTCTTTGGGGGCTCAGGGTTTGCCTGCATGTGTCTTCCATAGAGGCTGCAAAACACAAAAGAAGGAATATACATTACACAGGGAAAACATCAGAAAATAGTATTGATTACTTAAACCAGTCACTGCTATTCATCTCACACACACAAATAAACCAGAAAGAAATATCTGTATTGACTGGTTCATACAAACTTCAGCTTTTGAACGCCAACCTAAAGGACCAAGTTTACAAAAAGAAATGAAAAGCTTTCAGTAAGCCTCAAACGGCTTTCTTGAATCTGCGAAGTAAAGTGTAATAAAAAAATATGGGAGGAGCAAATGCTGACCACCTACTGAAAAGATCAGTTGACTGGCTGTGAGCGTTAAAGGGGCACTTCTTATATGTCTTGGATGCTCCACCAGCATGCTCCCTCATATCTGTCCCTGTCTACCTGCATGTTTTGGGTGTCTGCACGCCCCCCTACCCTTCCCCACCTTTGTGTGTTCCAGCTTCTTCTGTTAAATTCTTCTATTATAAAAAATAAATACATCAGGGATGGTGGCCTCTGTGTTTCTCTCATGACCGGTTTACTTTAAACCACCAACAGTTCCAGTCTAGAAGTTTTGAACTCATATTGAAGTGTATATATGCAGCGAATCTCTGCAAAACCTGCACATTACCCCCACATGTTCAATTTCTTGTCCAACTCTGAACTTACAGAAAAATATCTGTTGATCCTGCCAGAAATCCAATGAGTTCCTAACGTTTTGTTGTTAGCTGACACCAATGCCTCTGCTGCACAGGAATCCCAAGCAGCGTTACCAGCCCTACCCTCCATACTGCAGAGCTCTACCTATCCCCAGCCATCCCTGTCCTGTTCCTTAGGTATACACCGATTCATTTCCCAGCAAAATATTGCATCTGCCTTGACTCCCAAGAGCTTGTCCACCCAATGCGTGTAGGAGAAGGGATCATGGCAGATGTAGACCAGGGGGAGTATCTGCGTCAATGGGAACTAAGCTCTCAGCAGCTGCCCCTGCAAGAATTTTAAAAGCCTGGTGAGATCGTAGGGAGTATTAAAAACCGTTTCTCCCTACAGGATACAAATAATATTTGGACATGATATAGAGGGGGGTGGAAGGTGTGGGAATACACTGGGTCATGCCCCTACAAATACTTGAAAAATACAGGAAACTAAACGGTATAAAGTTTTGCAAATGTTGGTTGTACACACTCTTGCTCCTCAGGCTAGCATTTAAAATGTGAAGGCTAAAAACCTCAGTGACTGCAGTGCTACTTTGTGCTTTTCGTTATATTTTGTATGCTCAGACTGAAATGTGCAAACCATAAAATATTATGACAATCACAGCTAGTGCCTTGCTACCTGAAGTCGGCTCTGTGCTACATTTTTCTTTTGTTTTAGTGTTCATTTGTACTTTATTATTACCTGACCTGCAGCCGGACACAAAGCTGGAAGACATGCTGGTTGCTCAGCCTTTTCATGTCACATATATCTAATTCATAGCATGTACCTGTCACTGAGAGCTCCAGCTTTCCTGATATGTCAGATCACATTTGATAGACAACTGCCTGGCCCATTTTCTCTTCACAAGAGATATGGAAGAGCAAAATGCCTAAAGGAAAACTGCTATCAACATTTTCATGTTTTAAAGGATATATATAAATTACTGTTATTTGTAAGAAGCTCTAACTTGCTACCAGGAGGCTCAGGAGATAGTGCTGTGGGGCTAAAGTTCAATTCCCTCTGAAAACTCAGGTCTACATAGAGTTTGCTTGTTAAACTGGTGTTTGTGTTAGTCCCTTCCAGATTCTCTGAGCCCACAATCCAAATACATACTGCTTGGTTAGTCGGCTTTCAAGTACATTGACTCTACTGTGTCTGTAGGAATGCGGGACAGTAGACTATGTTCACCTGGAGGCATGACTGATGTGAATGGCTTAGAGCTAGTTACGAGTGAAAGAGAGATAATTTCACCAAATTTCGGTGAAATGTAAGATTTAGGTGAAAGTTAGACATTTGGAAAAGCTACTTGGGGGATATTCCTTCAGACTCCACCACTCCCCTCCTTCCAAAAGGGTGTTTTTTGTGTTGTTGTTGTAATGGCCTTTAAATGGATACAGTAGGGAAGAGTTAGAAAGTTTTTACTGTCATCTATGGCTCCATTGGAAGGATTTTCTCTTACTTACTGTCCCGGTGACTACAGCTTTACAAGAGCGGAAGTGAGGTAACATCAGAAACCAATAAAAAGCGCAGAAATACGCCCAGGTGGGAACCATGCCCATAGGCAATTATTGTTTTTTACATGCTGAGCGTTTGACAGCGTGTCGATCAGCGCTGTAAAACGCCCAGGTGTGAACCAGGCCGGAGTCCTGGATAGCAGTAAAAACCCAGCGGGGGGGGATGGGGGCGGGTTCTAAGCCTTTCCCATTCAATCCAAGAATTAAAGAAAATGTTTTGGCTAGACATATACTTTTACTTATTGCATTGACACCTTACCCTCCCCTCCTCACATCTTCCATGGCTTATTATTGGTCTAGTCTTCAAATGGATGGCCTCACTGACCAATAGTAAGGGAACAGTCCAAGCAAAGTGTGAATAGGATTTAATTAAGCCATCTGAAAATGATTATATTTTCTAGGGACTCTGTTGTTGAGATCTGTTGGGCATTCAAGGTCTGCATATCTGCTGTTGCCATAATGAAGGCTTCCCACTTTACTGTGTTTTGTACTTATTTGACATTATGGAGAATATAACAAGAGGAGCTGGAACACACAAAAGGTGGAGAGGAACACACAAAACTCCCAGGTAGAGAGAAATAGCACCACAATTTTAGGCAGGGAGATCCAGCTATTGGAATATGTTAGATATAATAGAAGCCAGGGGCCGAGTCAGCGCATCAAACTCCACCAGTAAGTAAAATATCTTTAAAAACCTAAAGTCTTTATTTGTATATTAGTGATCCCTGGAACATGGAAAGCTCTGCAATGTAACTGAACATTCATGTAGGCACCTCTAGATGTCTGCTATACAAGACTGCCTGAAGATAAGAGGAGATAAAACGAACGCAAGTTGACGTCCTCATATCCATTTCTTCAGGAATAATAGAAGAATGTAGAACTTGACTCCCCCAAAGCCTTTATAAAACACATCAATCTTTCACCTTCTGTCTTCTCAAGCATGCACATGCACCGAGGTATGCCTTGAGTACATGATATTCTAATTCCAGAATACATTGTCAACATGTAATCAGCAGCGCTTATTATTGTGGCATTGATGTGTTGGTAGTGTTGTCCCTACAATCAATCATGCAGGAAGATCCTGACAGCACTTCCCCATCACATAGCTGAGCCGTTAGGTGTTCTGGCAGAAGTTCCTGCTCGCTGTGCTGTAGATGTCTCTGTTAGGGTGCAGTGCCGTCACAGATATGCTTTTGTTAGCCATGTTATTGTTTCAAGTCTTATGCCAGGCACTTTCATCGCCTTGGTTTGTGTTCTTCTTTAGAAGCAGCTCTATTGCTAAAATGAAGCCTTACAAATAAAGTCCTACCTTCAAAGAGTGACTAGATACTGGGGCCTGAATAGCCTGCAGAATCCAACAATTCTGGATTTTTTAAAATTTCTGGTCACCCTCTGCACTCCTATGTCACCTATGTCACTAGTGAGTCCGCTAATGAAGCAGAGGTCGGCGGAATGAACCACAGCACGCAGCAGGGAACCAGGTAAATCAACACTCCTGAAAGTGTTTGATTCTGCAGGATCTTTAGGTATCTCTTTGCTACTGTGGGTTGTGGGAGAGGTGAGTATTAAAAACATTTCTTTACATATTTTAGCAACAGAGTGGCTATAGGTCAGACCCAGAAATGCGTATGGAGATCTTTAGACCAAAGCAAAGGGAGTTTACAGTGTATCTAAACCCTTATAAAAACATATGTTGAAAAATCTGAAAACATCACTACCAGGACTTCCTCTTTAAGGGTGACAACAATGCCCGTTTATACCCAGGTATGTTGTAGCAGCATTGTCACACTTACTGCACATTGCCACAACAAACTACAAGAGGTCGTCCTGGCACAATGAGCACAGACATGTCTTGCATCTTCTTCTAAAGACAAGCCGGTAAAGCATCTTAGAGCTTGTACCGCACAGTCTATAGTCTGAACAATGCACATTGAAGTGCATTGTTTTTTCTGTTAGTCTGTACAGCCAAATATGCGTGGACATGTGCCCCAGTGTGAATGGAGCCTTCTGGAAGCTGTTCATCATCTTCGAATGGTGAACCTGCTGGGAACAGTGCCAGAGAGATGGTGTGTATTGCAGTGAGAGTCACATTTTTGTTTTAGAATGTGCTTGCCAATAGTTTTTAAGTAAGAAAACAATCTAACAACAAATGGGGGTTTAATGCAAAAACAGTAATAATAGGACTTCAAGCCAGCAGTTAAAAGGAAGGCAGAGAAAAATAGATCATATAAATACATTGTGGTTGAAGTGTATGGAGCATAATTAATACACAATTTTTATTAAATACTCATATCTCAAAAAGAAAAAGAACTTGATAAAGTTATTACAGCCATATCCTAAACAGACAGACAAACCAACATACACAATTTAAAAAATATAACAGAACCTCTCTCAAAATTGTCAAGCTTGTTGATGCCTCTGGAAATGTATTCAAATGAAAAAGGAACGCCTTTGTTGTAAAAATTGTCACTAGGTTGCAAAATAATAGTAGGAAGTCAAGCTTTCTTATAAAGAATTAAAAGTGTATTTGTTATATCTCTGCTTGTTAGTTACAAGACTCATCAAATATCCAACATAGCGCCTCTATTAGTGGTTGGTATATGATCCAGCAAGCTATTCAGTGGATTATGGCAAAAACATGAATCCAGAGAGTGTGATCACATCCGACTGTGTTCCTCCATCACATCAATGTGTCTCAGTCCAATCCAATAAGCAAATATCAGGTGTGATTAGTAAGAACAGACTATTTATAAGTGATATTAATGAGATCCACTTCTCATATCTCTAGGCTGGAATTGTCTAGTTCAAC